GAAGTGCATGCAGGCATTGAAGTGCATGCAGGCATTGAAGTGCATGCAGGCATTGAAGTGCATGCAGGCATTGAAGTGCAGGCAGGCATTGAAGTGCAGGCAGGCATTGAAGTGCAGGCAGGCATTGAAGTGCATGCAGGCCAGGCATTGAAGTGCAGGCAGGCATTGAAGTGCAGGCAGGCATTGAAGTGCAGGCAGGCATTGAAGTGCAGGCAGGCATTGAAGTGCAGGCAGGCATTGAAGTGCAGGCAGGCATTGAAGTGCAGGCAGGCATTGAAGTGCAGGCAGGCATTGAAGTGCAGGCAGGCATTGAAGTGCAGGCAGGCATTGAAGTGCAGGCAGGCATTGAAGTGCAGGCAGGCATTGAAGTGCAGGCAGGCATTGAAGTGCAGGCAGGCATTGAAGTGCAGGCAGGCATTGAAGTGCAGGCAGGCATTGAAGTGCAGGCAGGCATTGAAGTGCAGGCAGGCATTGAAGTGCAGGCAGGCATTGAAGTGCAGGCAGGCAGGCATTGAAGTGCAGGCAGGCATTGAGGGCAGGCATTGAAGTGCAGGCAGGCATTGAAGTGCAGGCAGGCATTGAAGTGCAGGCAGGCATTGAAGTGCAGGCAGGCATTGAAGTGCAGGCAGGCATTGAAGTGCAGGCAGGCATTGAAGTGCAGGCAGGCATTGAAGTGCAGGCAGGCATTGAAGTGCAGGCAGGCATTGAAGTGCAGGCAGGCATTGAAGTGCAGGCAGGCATTGAAGTGCAGGCAGGCATTGAAGTGCAGGCAGGCATTGAAGTGCAGGCAGGCATTGAAGTGCAGGCAGGCATTGAAGTGCAGGCAGGCATTGAAGTGCAGGCAGGCATTGAAGTGCAGGCAGGCATTGAAGTGCAGGCAGGCATTGAAGTGCAGGCAGGCATTGAAGTGCAGGCAGGCATTGAAGTGCAGGCAGGCATTGAAGTGCAGGCAGGCATTGAAGTGCAGGCAGGCATTGAAGTGCAGGCAGGCATTGAAGTGCAGGCAGGCATTGAAGTGCAGGCAGGCATTGAAGTGCAGGCAGGCATTGAAGTGCAGGCAGGCATTGAAGTGCAGGCAGGCATTGAAGTGCAGGCAGGCATTGAAGTGCAGGCAGGCATTGAAGTGCAGGCAGGCATTGAAGTGCAGGCAGGCATTGAAGTGCAGGCAGGCATTGAAGTGCAGGCAGGCATTGAAGTGCAGGCAGGCATTGAAGTGCAGGCAGGCATTGAAGTGCAGGCAGGCATTGAAGTGCAGGCAGGCATTGAAGTGCAGGCAGGCATTGAAGTGCAGGCAGGCATTGAAGTGCAGGCAGGCATTGAAGTGCAGGCAGGCATTGAAGTGCAGGCAGGCATTGAAGTGCAGGCAGGCATTGAAGTGCAGGCAGGCATTGAAGTGCAGGCAGGCATTGAAGTGCATGCAGGCATTGAAGTGCATGCAGGCATTGAAGTGCATGCAGGCATTGAAGTGCAGGCAGGCATTGAAGTGCAGGCAGGCATTGAAGTGCATGCAGGCATTGAAGTGCATGCAGGCATTGAAGTGCATGCAGGCATTGAAGTGCAGGCAGGCATTGAAGTGCAGGCAGGCATTGAAGTGCAGGCAGGCATTGAAGTGCATGCAGGCATTGAAGTGCAGGCAGGCATTGAAGTGCAGGCAGGCATTGAAGTGCAGGCAGGCATTGAAGTGCAGGCAGGCATTGAAGTGCAGGCAGGCATTGAAGTGCAGGCAGGCATTGAAGTGCAGGCAGGCATTGAAGTGCAGGCAGGCATTGAAGTGCAGGCAGGCATTGAAGTGCAGGCAGGCATTGAAGTGCAGGCAGGCATTGAAGTGCAGGCAGGCATTGAAGTGCAGGCAGGCATTGAAGTGCAGGCAGGCATTGAAGTGCAGGCAGGCATTGAAGTGCAGGCAGGCATTGAAGTGCAGGCAGGCATTGAAGTGCAGGCAGGCATTGAAGTGCAGGCAGGCATTGAAGTGCATGCAGGCATTGAAGTGCAGGCAGGCATTGAAGTGCATGCAGGCATTGAAGTGCAGGCAGGCATTGAAGTGCAGGCAGGCATTGAAGTGCAGGCAGGCATTGAAGTGCAGGCAGGCATTGAAGTGCAGGCAGGCATTGAAGTGCAGGCAGGCATTGAAGTGCAGGCAGGCATTGAAGTGCAGGCAGGCATTGAAGTGCAGGCAGGCATTGAAGTGCAGGCAGGCATTGAAGTGCAGGCAGGCATTGAAGTGCAGGCAGGCATTGAAGTGCAGGCAGGCATTGAAGTGCAGGCAGGCATTGAAGTGCAGGCAGGCATTGAAGTGCAGGCAGGCATTGAAGTGCAGGCAGGCATTGAAGTGCAGGCAGGCATTGAAGTGCAGGCAGGCATTGAAGTGCAGGCAGGCATTGAAGTGCAGGCAGGCATTGAAGTGCAGGCAGGCATTGAAGTGCAGGCAGGCATTGAAGTGCAGGCAGGCATTGAAGTGCAGGCAGGCATTGAAGTGCAGGCAGGCATTGAAGTGCAGGCAGGCATTGAAGTGCAGGCAGGCATTGAAGTGCAGGCAGGCATTGAAGTGCAGGCAGGCATTGAAGTGCAGGCAGGCATTGAAGTGCAGGCAGGCATTGAAGTGCAGGCAGGCATTGAAGTGCAGGCAGGCATTGAAGTGCAGGCAGGCATTGAAGTGCAGGCAGGCATTGAAGTGCATGCAGGCATTGAAGTGCAGGCAGGCATTGAAGTGCAGGCAGGCATTGAAGTGCATGCAGGCATTGAAGTGCAGGCAGGCATTGAAGTGCAGCAGGCATTGAAGTGCAGGCAGGCATTGAAGTGCAGGCAGGCATTGAAGTGCAGGCAGGCATTGAAGTGCAGGCAGGCATTGAAGTGCAGGCAGGCATTGAAGTGCAGGCAGGCATTGAAGTGCAGGCAGGCATTGAAGTGCAGGCAGGCATTGAAGTGCAGGCAGGCATTGAAGTGCAGGCAGGCATTGAAGTGCAGGCAGGCATTGAAGTGCAGGCAGGCATTGAAGTGCAGGCAGGCATTGAAGTGCAGGCAGGCATTGAAGTGCAGGCAGGCATTGAAGTGCATGCAGGCATTGAAGTGCAGGCAGGCATTGAAGTGCATGCAGGCATTGAAGTGCAGGCAGGCATTGAAGTGCATGCAGGCATTGAAGTGCAGGCAGGCATTGAAGTGCAGGCAGGCATTGAAGTGCAGGCAGGCATTGAAGTGCAGGCAGGCATTGAAGTGCAGGCAGGCATTGAAGTGCAGGCAGGCATTGAAGTGCAGGCAGGCATTGAAGTGCATGCAGGCATTGAAGTGCAGGCAGGCATTGAAGTGCAGGCAGGCATTGAAGTGCAGGCAGGCATTGAAGTGCAGGCAGGCATTGAAGTGCAGGCAGGCATTGAAGTGCAGGCAGGCATTGAAGTGCAGGCAGGCATTGAAGTGCAGGCAGGCATTGAAGTGCAGGCAGGCATTGAAGTGCAGGCAGGCATTGAAGTGCAGGCAGGCATTGAAGTGCAGGCAGGCATTGAAGTGCAGGCAGGCATTGAAGTGCATGCAGGCATTGAAGTGCATGCAGGCATTGAAGTGCAGGCAGGCATTGAAGTGCAGGCAGGCATTGAAGTGCAGGCAGGCATTGAAGTGCAGGCAGGCATTGAAGTGCAGGCAGGCATTGAAGTGCAGGCAGGCATTGAAGTGCAGGCAGGCATTGAAGTGCATGCAGGCATTGAAGTGCAGGCAGGCATTGAAGTGCAGGCAGGCATTGAAGTGCAGGCAGGCATTGAAGTGCATGCAGGCATTGAAGTGCAGGCAGGCATTGAAGTGCATGCAGGCATTGAAGTGCATGCAGGCATTGAAGTGCATGCAGGCATTGAAGTGCATGCAGGCATTGAAGTGCATGCAGGCATTGAAGTGCATGCAGGCATTGAAGTGCAGGCAGGCATTGAAGTGCATGCAGGCATTGAAGTGCATGCAGGCATTGAAGTGCAGGCAGGCATTGAAGTGCATGCAGGCATTGAAGTGCAGGCAGGCATTGAAGTGCAGGCAGGCATTGAAGTGCATGCAGGCATTGAAGTGCAGGCAGGCATTGAAGTGCAGGCAGGCATTGAAGTGCAGGCAGGCATTGAAGTGCAGGCAGGCATTGAAGTGCAGGCAGGCATTGAAGTGCAGGCAGGCATTGAAGTGCAGGCAGGCATTGAAGTGCAGGCAGGCATTGAAGTGCAGGCAGGCATTGAAGTGCAGGCAGGCATTGAAGTGCAGGCAGGCATTGAAGTGCAGGCAGGCATTGAAGTGCAGGCAGGCATTGAAGTGCAGGCAGGCATTGAAGTGCAGGCAGGCATTGAAGTGCAGGCAGGCATTGAAGTGCAGGCAGGCATTGAAGTGCAGGCAGGCATTGAAGTGCAGGCAGGCATTGAAGTGCAGGCAGGCATTGAAGTGCAGGCAGGCATTGAAGTGCAGGCAGGCATTGAAGTGCAGGCAGGCATTGAAGTGCAGGCAGGCATTGAAGTGCAGGCAGGCATTGAAGTGCAGGCAGGCATTGAAGTGCAGGCAGGCATTGAAGTGCAGGCAGGCATTGAAGTGCAGGCAGGCATTGAAGTGCAGGCAGGCATTGAAGTGCAGGCAGGCATTGAAGTGCAGGCAGGCATTGAAGTGCAGGCAGGCATTGAAGTGCAGGCAGGCATTGAAGTGCAGGCAGGCATTGAAGTGCAGGCAGGCATTGAAGTGCAGGCAGGCATTGAAGTGCAGGCAGGCATTGAAGTGCAGGCAGGCATTGAAGTGCATGCAGGCATTGAAGTGCAGGCAGGCATTGAAGTGCAGGCAGGCATTGAAGTGCAGGCAGGCATTGAAGTGCAGGCAGGCATTGAAGTGCAGGCAGGCATTGAAGTGCAGGCAGGCATTGAAGTGCAGGCAGGCATTGAAGTGCAGGCAGGCATTGAAGTGCAGGCAGGCATTGAAGTGCAGGCAGGCATTGAAGTGCAGGCAGGCATTGAAGTGCAGGCAGGCATTGAAGTGCATGAACACGTTCCTTCACCCACCTGTGCAGCAGGCTCTGGTTTTCCGCCATCAAGTAGCGATAGGTGAAAGGGAAGTCGTGTAGAGGCATGCAGCTGTCGGGGGTTTGAGGAATGCAGGGCAACGAGGGTGATGATGAGGGGTGAGGGAAGGGGGATGGGGTGGCAAGGACACCCAAACCGTGAGTTTGACGGCTGAAAAACACCTTTTAAACAGTGACTTTCCCTCCCCTTCGCCACTCACCCACTGACCCACCTACCTATCCACCCATGCAACCACCCACCCACCCACCCACCCACCCACCCACCCACCCACCCACCCATTCATCCCACCCACCCATTCATCCCACCCACCCATTCACGTACGACTCAGAGACAATGAGGAAGCGCTTGTTGGCCGGATCAAGAAGTGCGTTCGCCAGGAGCCATCCCACCCACCCATCCCATCCCATCCCAGCTACACATTCATCCCATCCCATCCCATCCCATCCCAGCTACACATTCATCCCATCCCATCCCATCCCATCCCAGCTACACATTCATCCCATCCCATCCCATCCCAGCTACACATTCATCCCATCCCATCCCATCCTATCCCATCCCATCCCATCCCATCCCATCCCATCCCATCCCATCCCACCCCCAGCGTACGACTCAGAGACAATGAGGAAGCGCTTGTTGGCCGGATCAAGAAGTGCGTTCGCCAGGAGGCGTCTCTCCGCTGCCACCATTGAGGGATCACCCCACTGCACCTGCAGTACACAGGAGGTGATAGGAACGAGGAGGGAGGAAATGGAAGAACGGGATAATGTGGCGGACGGAGGGGGGGAGCTGGGTAGTATGCGGGTTGGGAGACAGAAGGACGGAATGAGTGATCCACGAAGGTACCTCTCCCATAGTCTACTAAGAGGCATGGGTCCACGTGTCAGGAATAAGAACGCGACTCGGTCCTCCTCCCCCTGGCCGCTCCCCTTGGGCTGCCCGTCCGGGTGCAACCTCCGCACCCTATCAAACAGCGCCACGTCAGCGGCGGATAAGACCGGCTCGTCCATGCTTCCGGGCGGCGGGCCTTGTCGTATCTCCTTGTCGGAGCATCTTTGTCCGGAGATGCTGACGCAGGGGGATTCGTCCTTGGCTAGAAGACGGAGGTATGCCGGTGTGGGATCGGTCGGAGATCCCGCGAGAGACGGAGGGATGGAGGAGGAGGATGACGAGGACGAGGAGGAAGAGGAGGAGGCGGAAGAGTTTTCAGGTAATGTTGCGTGTGAGGAGGATGAGTCTGTGTGTGGGTGTGTCGTCGAGCGACCGTAGCTGTCGCGGGTTTCGCTGGCATCGCCGAGCGCGGATTCTGAGCTCGCGAGGCTTCGCAAATGCCTTCGCAGCGGCGGCGAAAGCAGCACAGTAACCGCGAGAAACGCGGATATTCCCAAGGCGACGGGGAGGATGCTACGCTTGGTGCTACGGCCCTTGGGATTCGAGCGTCTTGGAACACTGCTAGCGGAACCCGCGCTCCCTGCTAAGACTCCTCCTTTCGCGACGACAGCCGGCATAATTAATCGCCTCTGGGTTAGCTCACGAAGATTCACGAAATCGTGGAAGATTTTATGCCGAGCATCTTGACTGTGGCGCTAATCTCTGGTGCGGAAGCGCCGTATCGCACGATTGCAACTTTAAGGCGTCTCTATGCAACATACGTTGCAGACGATTCGACATGGAACTAAGCACACATTCCGGAACTTTGTGTTTCACTTGTTCGAAGTCCCATGGATTTTGGAGAGAAACTCGAGCAAGCAGACTCGTGTCTGGCAAATGACGGACGGGATCTGACGACTGTGGATCAGCCCAGCCCCGCCAAATTATCCTGTCAGTGCATCAGAAGCCTGCACTGCACCCGCATTGATGAAGACACTCACCCGGCCCAACCCAACCCGAATAAACCCAGCCCAACCCATGAAAACATATAAAATTCAAACACGGAGCTCAAGTGGAGTATCTCTTTACTGTACCACGTATATTCTGTCCAATATGTACACTATCGAAATAAGTTGTGCCAGAAATGCGGATTTGCCATACGGCCTTGGGATCTCCAACTTCTATCAGTGAAGCGTGTGGGTGAAGCTCTCCTTCACTGAAAGGACACCCATCTTCACTCAAGTCTGGACTGGAGTCTCCTAATCTGGCCATTTTCCACTACGTGTGTTTCTCCCACCATGATCTGAGATGCTCCATTCCAGAGCCACATCAGCCGTTCGTCCTGGGAAGATCATTTCCCGTTTTCTCACAAATTATCGATCGCTTTCACGGGAGGTCTCCTCTGATTTCGCGACGACCTGCGTAACCCGCTGCGAGCGCGTGAATCTAGAAGGCGTCGAATTCGGAAGGCTCGATCTTGGGAGACTTGCCATGCTTCATGTAATCGTACCGTCAGACGCGCTCTCGTGCCGTCCGTTGCGCGGCCTACGCAGCACACCCGTCGCCGTCGCGAATCGTAACAACGGACGAGGATGCGACGAGTCGAACCTTCATCAGTCCCCCCCTCTCTCATTCTCCACGTCAGCGTATTTAACCGCTCTACCTTTCAGTCGTCGGACTTCCCGTCGTGGTCTCCCAGTTCTTTCCTCCTCCGTCGTAGCCGTTCCTCTCCCAGTGTCAGGCTTGTCACCTTTATCCATACTTCGAGCTCCCACCGCCTCACTTACTGGTTTGACCACGTCCGTCCGCGGTCTTCTAACCTCGGGATTCCCTCCCTTGTCGAAATCTCGCCGCGATGAGCGGAGGCTGGGGAACGCACCAGGTGGGGAAGCGTGGCGGGTGCACTCGCAGGGTATTGCGGGGGATGCAGGGACGAGTGCAGCGGCGGTAGTTGAGGCAGAGACGGAGGCGGAGGGGAGAGAAGAGGTTGGCGGAGCGGAAGAGGAAAAAGCGGAGAAGCTTCAGTACGTGCCCTTGCACACACACAGCGACTTCAGCCTTTTAGACGGAGCCAGCCAGGTCCGTGGCCCTGTAACTCCTTACATAAACCGGATTAAGCGAGTACAAAACTTGACTTGATCCCCACGCTGGTAATTTCTGCGTCCGTACCTCCTTACGTCCTTATTGAACCCCCATCCTGTTGCTCCTGATCATGCCCCCACACGTGATGGCAGCTGAAGGGACTGGTGGCACGCGCCAAGGAGCTCAACATGCCCGGCATTGCGCTCACTGACCATGGCGGTGAGTCTGCTGCGCCTTTTGAGTCGCCTCAAAAGCCTCTTCGTTCTGAGTTGAATCTCAAAATTGAATTACAAGGGGTGGAACGCGCCAAGGAGCTCAACATGCCCAACATTCCTCTCACTGGGCACGGTGGTGAGTCTGCTGCGCTTCACTTACAAGTCTCATTACCTGTAGACAGTCTAATTCACCGCAGACAGTCTAATTCACCGCAGACAGTCTAATTCACCGCAGACAGACCTCAAATTTCTTCCCTCTGTCAACCCCTCTTGCCTTTGCTGGCTTTCCCCCCACTCGCCTTGTCTTGTGTGTTTTGCCTATCGACGCCTTACCCACCCATCCTCTCCTGCCTTCGCAACCCCCGCCACGCTCCCTTTCATTCAATTAAAGTCCATCATTGCAACAAATTGTGCTTAATGGGTGGTTTTTGAGGTGCCTTGAAAACACACACACCCGTCTCCCGCCAACTCCCCCCTCCTCTCTTCCCCCGCCCCTCTCCCCCCAGTGATGTACGGTGTGCTGCAGCTGGTGCGCATGTGCGAGGCGGAGGGCTTAAAGCCCGTGATCGGCAACGAGATGTACCTCGTGCATGACCAGGGCGCTCCCGCTGCTCTGCTGCAGGCCGCACGGGCCCTCAGGGAGCAGGAGGAGCAGGGAGAGCAGGGGGAGTTGCGGGAGGAGAGAGAGGAGAGTGGGATGGGAATGAGGATGGGAGGGGCGGAAGGGGAAGGGGATGGGGGAGGAGGACAGGTGGTGTTGGAAAGAGTGGGGGAGGTTGGTGGTGCTGTGAAGGGGAGTGGTAGTGGAGAGGGGGATGTGGGGCAAGGAGTAGGGGGTGAGGTGGCTGAGGGGCTGGCTGGGGAAGAGCAGGCAGGGGAGGCGGAGGCAGTTGGGGCAGGGAAGGCGGTTAAAGCACCCCCAGTCAAAAGGTGAGTGCGTGGGAGGGCGGATTGGCCCGAAGGGGAGAAATGATTCATTTCGTATTATGGTAGGGGCAGCTTTTTAAGCAAGGCAAGGTGCCCGTGTGCCTCTCCCACGCATCCATCTCCCACGCATCCGTCTCCCACCCATGCATCTACTCCCCACCCCACAGGTACCACCTGACGGTGCTGGCCAAGGACATGGAGGGGTACCGCAACCTGGTGCAGCTCACGTCCCTCTCGCACCTGCATGGCATGGTGGTGAGTCTATGTCGCATGCTTGTGAGAAGGAAGAAGGGAGTCATGGAGTGGGGAGCACCGAGCACTTGGGCAGGTATACTCTCATCTGTTTTTCTCTTTGAATCTGTGCGTAAAAGCACACGGAGAGGTGTGCAGTGGGCAGTTTGATTTGACGAGATCTTGTGTATCTTCATGGTTCCACATGAGGCTCGATTGTAAAATCCCGTCAAATGATTTTTCTGTTTCTTTCTTCGTTCTGCTTCATGGCAGGGCAATGGTGCAAGAGGGCGTCCGTGCATCACAAGGTGGGTGTGCGCATCGCATGCATCGCATGCATGCTGCATGAATCGTCTAGAGGCTGCTGACACGTTTCTACATCTTTGAGTGCAAGAATGGGACTTGCTTTACCAAGCTGTTGGGCTATGCACCCTGCGTGTTTGTGACAGGGCTTTGGCCGATTTGCACCCTCTCTCCCCCACACCACCTCGACCCATTTTCGTTACTGTTGCAGGGAGCTGTTGGCGCATCACAGGAAGGGGCTCATCGTGCTGAGTGGATGCATGTCAGGGGAGGTATGCTGGATGCATGTCAGGGGAGGTATGCTGGATGCATCATTCGATTGGATGCAAATGCATCATGCATTGGCCAGGCCTTGCAGTGTAGTGTATCTTCTTTTCTCTTTCCACCCTCCCATTTTTCCAAACGCTGATCTGGTTCACTCAGTATTCCTTTCATCTCTCTCTTCCCCTCCCTACTTGTCTGTGATTGCCAGGTGCCTCGTGCCATCATGGCCGATAGCATGGACGAGGCGCGAAGCACAGTCGACTGGTGAGTCCATCCCCTGCATGTGCTGCATCACATTATGCTTTCAAGTATGTGCATGGATGACACGTAATAGTGAAGGCTGCCAAGCATTCACATGTGGGATTAAATCATGACTGATTTTCATGTTGTTGCTTTCAGCTTTGGACTTTGCTGTTGTACCAGTTGACTGCAGTCCGTACCTTATTCGGGATTGGCACCACTGCGCTATCACACCACACCTCTTGTGCCCCCTCTTCTCCCCGTCCTCACGTGCCTGATTGCTGCAGGTACCGCACGGTGTTTGGGTCGGACTACTATCTCGAAGTGATGGACCACGCCTGTAAATCCTTAGGCTTCTGGCCCCGCTTCATATGTCCCCCCAACACCTTCTCCGTTATGTTTCACAGGTACCACTCGGTGTTTGGGTCGGACTACTACCTAGAGGTGATGGACCACGGGCGCATTGACTTTGGTAGCGGCTACGATGTCAACGCCAAGATCAACCGCACGCTGCTGCACCTGTCACAGGAGACGGTGAGGCTGTGAGACGGTGAGATGGTGAGATGGTGATGGGACTGTGACATGAGGGCGGATGTGACTGTGCCTCATGCTTTCCTTTGAGTTACTACTATTTGAGAGTCGCGTCACTAGTAAATTACGTGCTGCAGCAGCCATTTCATGGCGGTGGAGGGGGGGTGGGGAGGCGAACAACAATGCACTGTAAGGCTGTGGTACAACCCAGTGTGTGATATAATGTGGTATAGTGTTTTACAGTGTGGTACGATGCGCCCCTGGAGGTTTAAGGGCGAATAGTAGTGCCCTGGCGCTCATTTCTTCAGTGCTACACCCCCCACCCGTTTTTCAACGGTCCCAGGCTCGCTCCTCTGTGGCCTCTCATGCTCTTGTCACATTGGTACGGTCCTCTTCCCTCCACCCCCCCACCCTTCCAGGGCGTGCCCCTGGTGGCCACCAACGACTCTCACTTCACCCGGGCTACAGACCACAGGGCACACCAAACTCTTGTCTCTGTCAAGGTCTGTTTCTGTGCTTTTTGCACTGCCAGAGCAATTCATGCAAGCATCTCTTTTGTTCCTTTTGCATCTCCATGTTTATAATTTTGTGATTATCTACCTCTCAATTTACTCTCTCTCCCTCTTACCCTGCCTTCCCCATTGCACTGATGGCTTACTTCTCATGCTCATCTCGTCCGCCGTTGTGTGTCCATGATGTGTTGTGTTTCAGGCTGGGAAGAATCTTGTCCAAGCGTACACGTGAGTCGCCTGCCTCTCTTTTCTACATTTCTATTCCAGCAGTATATTCGAAGTTGTCTTGCATCAAGGCTTTTTTTTCAATAGTATTTCAGTTTGCCCTATCCCAATGCGCACACCACACCACATCAGGGGTCAGGAATATGTCAAGTCTCCAGAGGAAATGCTGGAGAGTCTACAGAGGACCCTTCCCGAGGAGTATGCTCTGGAATCCCTCCAGAACTCGCTGCGCATTGCTGATAAGGTGAGGCTTTTGTCTATCATGTGGCTTCGTTGGGTCGACTCATAGCTATCGAGGAAATGCTGGAGAGTCTACAGAGGACCCTTCCCGAGGAGCATGCTCTGGAAGCCCTCCAGAACTCGCTGCGCATTGCTGGCAAGGTGCGGCCGCCTGTCTGTTACGTGGCTCTTGCGTCAACCCTGAGCCGCTGATAACCCGAATTGAGTGATAAGTCGCTTCACAGCTTGCAAAGGACTCTCCCGTGCCTCGCCCATCTTCTCGCCTCCCCTCGTCTCCCCCAGGTGGTCTCCTACTCCTCCGACCTCTTCTCGTCCAAGCCCAAGCTGCGTCTTTAGCCCTTTCTACATCCCCTTCCTCTCCCCTTCCTCTCCCCTTCCTCTCCCCTCCTCTCCCCTCCTCTCCCCTCGCCCCTCCCCCAGGTGGTCTCCTACTCCTCCGACCTCTTCTCCTCCAAGCCCAAGCTACCCACCTTTGACGTGCCTCCTGGTCACACTGACGCCTCGTGGCTTGAGGTGCATGCGTGCGAGGGGAGAGACAGGGGGGCAGAGGATGAATGGGGTAGTGATGGATGGATGGGAAGTGACGGAGAGAAGAGGGGAGGGTGGGGGGAGGAGAGGGGAGGGGAGGGGAGGAGAGGGGAGGGGAGGGGAGGAGAGGGGAGGGGAAGGGAAGGGACGGGAGGGGAGGGGAGGGGGAATAAGGGAGGGGAGGGGAGGGGAGGGGAGGGGAGGGGAAAGAGCAGAGTAGAGGAGAGGAGAGGAGAGGAGAGGAGAGGAGAGGAGAGCAGGGAGAGGGGATTTAGAGAGAAAACTCTCATTGGCTTTAGTTATTGTTGTGTTGTATGATTGTATCACTGTCTATCTGATCCTTTTTGTTGTACTGTCATTACTTCTCCATGCTCACACATGTCTATTCCATGCTTGCGTGCTCTGCGTGGAATCAGAGTGAGTCGCGGAGGGGGCTGCAGGCAGTGATGGGTGTGCAGACATGGGAGGCAGTACCGCAACCGTATAGGGAGCGATTGGACCTTGAACTCAGGGTTATTTGCAACTATGGCCTCTCCGCCTACTTCCTTGTATGTCCGCCTCTCTTCTCCGATCCCATACGATTTTATTCTGAGTCGAACAGTAGTAAACTCAGTTGCTGTTGCGAGATCCAGACATAGCTCAGTGAGCTGCGTGCTGTTGCGAGATCCAGACATAGCTCAGTGAGCTGCGTGCTGTTGCGAGATCCAGACATAGCTCAGTGAGCTGCGTGCTGTTGCGAGATCCAGACATAGCTCAGTGAGCTGCGTGCTGTTGCGAGATCCAGACATAGCTCAGTGAGCTGCGTGCTGTTTCGAGAATATCTGCCATTGCATTCTTTGTCGCATGGTCATTCTTTGTCGCATGGTCATTCTTTGTCGCATGGTCATTCTTTGTCGCATGGTCATTCTTTGTCGCATGGTCATTCTTTGTCGCATGGTCATTCTTTGTCGCATGGGCATTCTTTGTCGCATGGTCATTCTTTGTCGCATGGTCATTCTTTGTCGCATGGTCATTCTTTGTCGCATGGTCATTCTTTGTCGCATGGTCATTCTTTGTCGCATGGTCATTCTTTGTCGCATGGTCATTCTTTGTCGCATGGTCATTCTTTGTCGCATGGTCATTCTTTGTCGCATGGTCATTCTTTGTCGCATGGTCATTCTTTGTCGCATGGTCATTCTTTGTCGCATGGTCATTCTTTGTCGCATGATCATTCTTTGTCGCATGGTCATTCTTCCATCCCATATGCTGTTTCTTGAAGTCAACACAATAGTCATCTTGTCATCGTTCCGCTCGTAACTCTCCCCTCCCTCTCACGCTCCCACCACCCCTCCTCATTCCTCCCCTCTCCTCCCCACTCTCCCTTTCCATTCCTCCTCAACCCCCTCCTCAACCCTCCCCACCCCTCCCCGCCCCTCCCCAACCCTCACCCCCCCCCCCGAGCAGATAGTGGCGGACATCATCCAGTTTGCGCGCAGAAACGACATTCCCGTGGGCCCAGGCAGGTGAGGTGGGGCATGGAGGAGGGGGGTCTAATGAGCCAGAATGCCGTATTTGAGGCAGTTAGTCCGGATGAGACTCAGTTTGCTGGTTTGAACTGAACCACATTCTTATGGGCCTGGGCAGGTGAGGCAGCCGTGTGATATAGAGGGGAGTGAGTGACATGGTACTGCTGATGGGGGCTCTCAGCTCATGGGGAGTTCGGCACTGCTGCACTCGTATGAAGTTCGGCACTGCTGCACTCGTATGAAGTTCGGCACTGCTGCACTCGTATGAAGTTCGGCACTGCTGCACTCGTATGAAGTTCGGCATTGCTGCACTCGTATGAAGTTCGGCACTGCTGCACTCGTATGAAGTTCGGCACTGCTGCACTCGTATGAAGTTCGGCACTGCTGCACTCGTATGAAGTTCGGCACTGCTGCACTCGTATGAAGTTCGGCACTGCTGCACTCGTATGAAGTTCGGCACTGCTGCACTCGTATGAAGTTCGGCACTGCTGCACTCGTATGAAGTTCGGCACTGCTGCACTCGTATGAAGTTCGGCACTGCTGCACTCGTATGAAGTTCGGCACTGCTGCACTCGTATGAAGTTCGGCACTGCTGCACTCGTATGAAGTTCGGCACTGCTGCACTCGTATGAAGTTCGGCACTGCTGCACTCGTATGAAGTTCGGCACTGCTGCACTCGTATGAAGTTCTGTTCACTTGCACAAGCGGCACTACTGGGGGTCTAGTGCTACTTTGTGCTCTGATTGGTCATCGTGTCTGCTACTTTGTGCTCTGATTGGTCATTGTGTCTGCTACTTTGTGCTCTGATTGGTCATCGTGTCTGCTACTTTGTGCTCTGATTGGTCATCGTGTCTGCTACTTTGTGCTCTGATTGGTCATTGTGTCTGCTACTTTGTGCTCTGATTGGTCATCGTGTCTGCTACTTGTGCTCTGATTGGTCATCGTGTCTGCTACATTGTGCTCTGATTGGTCATCGTGTCTGCTACTTTGTGCTCTGATTGGTCATCGTGCCTGCTACTTGTGCTCTGATTGGTCATCGTGTCTGCTACATTGTGCTCTGATTGGTCATCGTGTCTGCTACTTTGTGCTCTGATTGGTCATCGTGTCTGCTACTTTGTGCTCTGATTGGTCATCGTGTCTGCTACTTTGTGCTCTGATTGGTCATCGTGCCTACTACTTCGTGCTCTGAATCAACTCGATTTTTCCTCGTGGCTCTCCCTTTCCCCCGCACTCTCCCCCCTTCTCCCTCTGCGCCTTCAACGCTCACCTGGCAGGGGGTCAGCAGCAGGGTCGCTGGTGGCATACGCGCTGGAGATAATCTCCATCGACCCCATCGAGCATGGTGAGTGAGTGAGCGGTCCCTGCCCCTTCATGCGCTCCCTCCGGTACCTCAAGTGCACACCCTTTGGGTCAGCAGCGGGATCCTTGGTGGCATACGCGCTGGAGATCATATCCATTGATCCCATCGAGCATGGTGAGTGAGCGGACATTATTCCTCCTTTTTTTTTTCAATTCAACGGACATTATTCAAATTGCGCTGTTGCACGGTTGCGCCCTTGCGCCGTCGCGCCCTGGCGCCCTCGTGCCCTCGCGCCCTTGCGCCAACCCCGCATCTCCGCATCCCCGCATCGCGCCTTGGTCCACGCGCGCGCCTTGGACCAAGTCGCGCAAGCCCAAGCCCAAGCCCAAGCCCAAGCCCGCGCGCGCCTTGGTCGCGCCTACGTCCGCGCGCGCGCCTTGGTCTGCGACGCGCGACTTGGTCTGCGCGCGCGCCTCGGTCTGTGCGCGCGCATCCCCGCATCCCCGCATCCCTGCTTCCCCGCATCCCCGTATCCCCGGCGTGCCGTTGCGCTATTGCGCTGGCCCTGGAGATCATCGCCGTTCCCACTCCCCATTGAGCACGGAGAGCTGCCAATGCACTGCACCCAGCCTATGCTCGTCATGCGGGGCTCACTGAAGTGCACCGCCCTCACACTCACCTCGAATGGTCCTTCATTAATCATACTCACAGCACACTAGTAATAGGGGCAAATAGGTAATGCAAAACAAGCCACGGCTGCTCAAGCACAGGCTCGAGCACGTGCAGAAGGTCCCCTGTGCTCTGCTCAGCGGCTCCCCCTCAAGGCGGTGGGGGCTGCCCCAGCCTCAACGGCCTTGTCTCTTTCCCTCTGTCCTCTCCCCTTTTCGTGCCCCCCGTCCTCTTTGCCACGTCCTCTTTCCCACGTCCTCTAACCCCAAGTGCACTCTTCCAGCTATTGCCTGACAGAATTCCTCATCCCACCATCCCCTCAACTCCTCAACCCTGATCCCACCATTACACACCCCCCCCCAGGGCTGTACTTTAAGCGATTTATGTACGAGGAAAGGCTGTCGTTTCAATAGATTCCCTTCTTTTTCCTGCTCTCCATGGCACCCCTACCTTTCTTTCCGCCCGTCGCCCATTCCGCGAACGCACTGCCCTCCCCACAGGGCTGTACTTTGAGCGTTTTTTGAACGAAGAAAGGCTGGCTCCTCCCGATATTGACTCCGACTTTTGCCCTCTCGGGCGGGATAAGGTGGGTGCGTTGCGGTTGAATGTGGTGCCTGCTGTAAGGCGGTGAGTGGAAGAGATCACAAGAAGTTACGTGTGCGACGCACACAGGATCGGGCAGAAGAATATAGTTACTGCTGGTACCTGCAGGGCCAACAAACACTTCATTTGTTGCCTCTTCCCTGCATGCAATCACATAACAGAATATGCACCCTTTCCGTCTCTTACCGCCTCACCCCTCTCTACCGCCCGGCAACGCACCCTCTCTGCCCCACCCGTCCCCACTCGTGCCTCTCCCCGTCAGATCCTGGCATGGATTGCAGAGAAATATGGCGCTCACAGGGTGGCACAGATCGCCACGTTCAACCGCATGACAATTTGGACGATGCTCCTCCTGTTTCCCCCTGCACCCTTCCCCCTACTGCCTTTCCTCCCCACCCCCTGCAACTTTCCCTGTCAGATCCTGGCATACATTGCAGAGAAGTACGGCGCTCACAGGGTGGCACAGATTGCAACCTTCAACCGCATGGGGTCACGTGCTGTGCTCAAGGACGTGGGGCGCGACATGCAGATTCCTTTAAACATCATGAACGAGCTTACAAAGCTGGTGAGAGGGGGATAATGAGAGGGGGTGCAAGTGTGAATGGTTGCTTGCGTTGATGTACTGTGAAGGACGTGGGGCGCGACATGGAGATTCCTTTCAACGTCATGAATGAGCTTACAAAGCTGGTGAGAGGGGGATAATGAGAGGGGGTGCAAGTGTGAATGGTTGCATGCGTTGATGTACTGTGAAGGACGTGGGGTGCTACATGGAGATTCCTTTCAACCTGCTGTACGAACTTACGAAGCTGGTGAGTGAGAGAATGGGAGAAGGTAAAGCAGGGTGTGGGACATACTGCTGGTCAGGACATGGGGCGAGACATGGCAATTCCAATGAACATCCTAACAACGGGGGTGCGTAATGGTAACGGAGGTGCGTAATGGTAACGGGGGTGCGTAATGGTAACGGGGGTGCGTTATGGTAACGGGTGCGTTATGGTTGCGGTGCGTTACGGTAACGGTGGTGCGTTATGGTAACGGGGGTGCGTTATGGTAACGGTGGTGCGTTACGGTAACGGGGTTGCGTTACGGTAACGGTGGTGCGTTATGGTAACGGGGTTGCGTTACGGTAACGGTGGTGCGTTATGGTAACGGTGGTGCGTTATGGTAACGGGGTTGCGTTATGGTAACGGGGTTGCGTTATGGTAACGGGGTTGCGTTATGGTAACGGTTGCGTTATGGTAACGGGGTTGCGTTATGGTAACGGGGTTGCGTTATGGTAACGGTGGTGCGTTATGGTAACGGGGTTGCGTTACGGTAACGGTGGTGCGTTATGGTAACGGTGGTGCGTTATGGTAACAGGGTTGCGTTATGGTAACGGGGTTGCGTTATGGTAACGGGGTTGCGTTATGGTAACGGGGTTGCGTTATGGTAACGGGTGCGTTATGGTTGCGGTGCGTTACGGTAACGGTGGTGCGTTATGGTAACGGGGTTGCGTTATGGTAACGGTTGCGTAATGGTAACGGTTGCGTTATGGAAACGGGTGTGTTATGGTAACGGGGTTGCGTTACGGTAACGGGGGCGCTTTATGGTAACGGCTCTGCAATGCCGTCCAATGCCGTCCAATGCCGTCCAATGCCCTCTAAATCCAATCTGCTCGTGTGCATCGATAGCAGGTGCCGGTGGAGAGGGGCCAGGCAGTGTCCCTGAGCATACGCATGGTGGCCTCAACTCCCTGCGCCCATTCCACCTGCCATGCGCTTCATGACTTGCATGACCCATGCCACGTGTTGCTCCACCACGTGTGCTTGAGTGCAGGTGCCAGTGGAGGGAGAGGGGTAAGGCAGTGTCCCTGAGCGCCCTCAGGGCGGACTCAACTCCGTATGCCCGTCCCACCTGCTACCTGTTGCTTCACCCGTCCAATGAGTGCAGGTGCCGGTGGAGCGAGGCAAGGCAGTGTTGCTGAAAACCCTCATGGCGGAAGACACCCCCTTCAGGAGACGCGTGTGCCTTTCCCATGTGCTGTACGTTTCCCTAACTAACCCCTGTGTCCTCCAATGTCCTCGTGCATGTGTGGCTGCAGGTGCCAGTGGAGCGAGGCAAGGCAGTGTTGCTGAAAACCCTCATGGCGGAAGACACCCCCTTCAGGAGACGTGTGTGCCTTTCCCATGTGCTGTGCGTTTCCCTAACTCACCCCTGTGTCCTCCAATGTCCTCGTGCATGTGTGGCTGCAGGTGCCAGTGGAGCGAGGCAAGGCAGTGTCGCTGAAAACCCTCATGGCGGAAGACACCCCTTTCAGGCGACGCGTGGAGAGGGATGCAATGGTGAGTGTTCAGTGCGGTGTAGTCCAGTGCAGTGCAGTATGTGCGTGGGAACAGGAGTGTAGGCATTGCCGACAAGGTAAGCTCAGTGGAGAGGGGCAAGGCAGTGTTGATGAAAACCCTCATGGCGGAGGACACCCCCTTCAGGAGACGCATGGAGAGGGACTCGATGGTGAGTGCGGTGGAGTGCAGTATGGGGATGGATGAGAAGGTGAGTGTGGCATGCGCATGGAGATGGGTGCAATGGTGAGCTCCTTCTCCCTGCTCGTATCATTGTGCGGTTCAGTACACTGTCTCTTTCCTTCATATCGCATCATTGCAAATTCCTCACACCTTCCTAGACACCCAACCAGCCCAAAATTTGTTTTTCATGTCCACAAACACATCTCGTCTGTACATACACAGCTCTTACAATGCGTGGAGTTGGGGCAGCTGTTGGAGGGCACGAACCGCTCCTTCGGTGTGCATGCAGCCGGCATCATCATCTCGCCCGCCTGCTTCCCCCTCTCCCAGGTCAGCTGCACTCTTCCTCCTCTCCACGCTCCTCCTCACGCACTCTTCCACTCTCTACATTCTGTACTTTTTATTTTCCTCCCCTTCTCCCTTTCCCCGTGCCATCCGCTCCCATGCATCCCTGTATGCCATCAATAGACCATCCCACCCACTCAACGAACTCAAGAAATCTGAAACTCGACCCCCCACCCCTGCCAGGTGGTGCCAGTGCAGCATGCACCAGGCAACACCTCCGCTCTTGTGACCCGGACGTAGAACGTGTGGGTCTTCTCAAGCTCCACATGCTGGGGCTTGGCGCAAGTCCTGAGAGACAGAGGCGTCTGAAACCCTGAAACCCAAACCCCCTTCCTTCCTCCCAGGTGGTGCCAGTGCAGCACGCCCCAGGCAACCCCTCCGCTCTCGTCAGTCAATACGCCATGGACGATGTGGAACGACTGGGTCTGCTCAAGTTCCATATCTTGGGGCTGCGCCTTTGTCTCTGTCACCCCTCCCACTCTTCTTCCCCTCTCCCAGGTGGTGCCAGTGCAGCATGCGCCAGGCAATCCCTCGGCTCTCGTCAGCCAATACGCCATGGATGATGTGGAGTGCCTGGGTCTGCTCAAGTTCCACATTCTCGGCCTGCGCAACCTCACCACGGCCCACCTCGCCCAGCGCACGTACGGTGTGTCCCTCCCTGTCATTGAGAAGCTTCCAGTGGAGAACCCCACTTGATTCTACGCCTCCAATCCTTTACCCTCCCTCCCAGGTGGTGCCAGTGCAGCACGCACCAGGCAATCCTTCGGCTCTCGTCAGTCAATACGCCATGGATGATGTGGAGCGACTGGGTCTGCTCAAGTTCCACATTCTCGGCCTGCGCCTTTCTCTGTATCACCTCCCCCCCCACTCACCCCCTTCCTCCCAGGTGGTGCCAGTGCAGCACGCCCCAGGCAACCCTTCCGCTCTCGTCAGCCAATACGCCATGGATGATGTGGAACGATTGGGTCTGCTCAAATTCGACATTCTCGGTCTGCGCAACCTCACCACAGCCCACCTCGCCCGCCTGCTCGCCCAGCGCACGTACGGCGTGTCCCTCCCTGTGATAGAGAAGCTTCCGGTGGAGAACCGCGCGACGTTTGAGCTGCTGTCAGGGGGCGACGTGGACGGGGTGTTTCAGCTGGAGGCATCTCCTGGGATGAAGAAGGTGGTGCGCGCACTCAAGCCATCCAGTCTCGCGGATATCTTCGCCATCGTCGCACTCTACCGCCCTGGGTGAGTGACTAACCAGAGAGAGAGAGGAGAGGTGCTGTCAGGGGGCGACGTGGACGTGGTGTTTCAGCTGGAGGCGTCTCCCTGGTGTGGGCGCTCAAGCCGTCCGGTCTCACGGACAGCTTCGCTATTGTGGCACTCTATCCGCCTGGGTGAGTAACTAGAGGCATGAGTCATGGCAGGCTTTTTGGGTCGACTCAAGAAGCACCTACAAGGTGGGCACCTTACAAGAATAACGGGACCTCGCTCCCCTTGCCCCCTCCGTTGCCCCCGTTTTCCCCCCTTCACCCCCACCAGCCCTCTTGACGCAGGTCTGGTGGATCGCTACATCAACAGGAAACACGGGCTGGAGCCAGTGTCCTTCCAAACGCCTGCCCTGGAGCGCATCTTAAAGGAGACGTATGGAGTGCTGCTGTATCAGGAGCAGATCATGCGCATGGCACGCAACCTGGCTGGGTACTCCCTGGGACAGGCCGACAGGCTCCCTGCACTCCCACTCCCCTTACCCACCTTCTCCCTCTTTCCCCCCTGTCTCCCCCTTTCACATCTCCGCATGGCCCTTCTCACCAGCCCTCTGGACGCGGGTCTAGTCGATCGCTACATCAACAGGAAGCACGGGCGAGAACCAGTCTCCTTCCAGACCCCCAAGCTGGAACCGATCCTGAAAGAAACGTACGGAGTGCTGCTGTACCAGGAGCAGATCATGCGCATGGCACGCGACCTGGCGGGGTACTCCCTGGGGCAGGCGGACATGCTGAGGCGAGCCATGGGGAAGAAGAAGCAGGAGGAGATGGAGGCGCACCACGAGCGGTTTGTGGAGGGCGCTGTGGAGAGAGGGGTTGAGCGGGCCGTGGCAGAGGATTTATTCGAACAGATGGTGAGTGCACAAGAAGAGGAGGGGGGGGGAGGGGGTGGAGGATGGATGTGAGGGACATAAGGGATGAATGAGGAGATGGTGGCAGCCTACTCAGTTTACCTTCTTTCACTCCCCGTTCCCCCCCTACCCTGGTTATGCGTGCACCACCAGGTGAAATTCTCACAGTATTGTTTCAACAAGTCCCACAGTGCGGCGTACGGCTATCTCACATACGTTACAGCCTTTCTCAAAGCCAACTACCCTCTGCCCTACATGGCCGCCCTCCTCTCCACCTCCATGCTCGAACCCCCCACCCTCCGCCGCTACGTCAACTCCTGCCGTGCTGCCCACATCAACATTCTCCCCCCGTCTGTGAACGCATCTGCTTATGACTTCTCTGTGGAGCTGCTTAAAACGGGGATGGAGGGGGGGGAGGAGCGGGAGGAGGGGTTCGGACAGGTGTCGCCGTCTGGCCCTGCCACATCAGCTGCGGACGGCGGGATTCGGTTCGGGCTGGCGGGCATTCGGGACGTCAGCAGGGCGGCGGCGGAGGAGATTATCGGGAAGCGGGAGGCGGGCGGCAGGTTTGTCAGTATTCAGGACCTGGTTGACCGCATTGACTTGGGGATGTGGAAAAGACCAACCATTCATGCCCTTGCTCACTCAGGGGCTCTGGATTGCTTAATTCTGGGGGAAGGGGGAGGAGGGGGAGACAGGGGAGTAGAGGGAGGAGGGGGCGGGAGTGAGGGAGTGTTGGGGGAAGTGGGAGAGGGTGACGGGGTGAGAGGGGGAGGGAGAGAGGCGGAGAGGGTGAAGAGAGGAGAGAGAGGAGGAGACGGAGGAGAGGAGGTGTATGTGGATAGGAAGGGGTTATCGGAGCTGCTAGAAGGGCTGGTGAAGGGGCGGAAGGAGAGGTTAAAAGCGGAGATTAAGGCTGTTGCAAGGCGGGAGAGAGAGCTGGTGATGCAGCAACGGCGAGAGGAGAAGCAGCGGGAGAAGGCAGCAAAGGAGTTGCTGAGACAGCAGGAGAGGTTGGCCCGGGAGGAGAAGAAGGAGCGGGAGAGAGTGGAGAGGGAGCGGAAGAGGGAGCAGCAGAGGATTGAGAGGGAGCAGAAGAAACTGCTGCAGGGGAAGGGGAGAGGGAACAAGGTGGAGGCTGCTGTGGTGCTGGGTGATGTGCCTCTTGGGGCTGAAGCTGCTGAGAGCAGCAGCAGCACTGATAGCAGCAGTCGCATTGATAGCCTTGACAGTGACACCATCAGCAGCAGCAGCAGCAGCAGCGGCACAAGCGATAGCAGCACCCCAACTCTCAGCAGCGTCACTCCCTCCTCCTTGGACGTTCCACTTGCCACCAACACCAGTGCTGACAATGCTATCTCACCAGACGATTCCACCACCCCTCCACCTCCCGCCACAGCCCCATTCCCTACCCCTCCCCCCTCTACCACCGCCGTCCCTGCATTCATCATCCCCCCGCCTCCTCCACTCCCCCCGTCCGTAACAGCAGCACTCATTCTGCGACGGCCCCTGCAAGAAGAGGAGATGGTGGAGAGGCTAGCACAGGAGAAAGCGCTGCTAGGCTTCTACGTCACCCAACACCCCGTGGAGGCACTCCTCCCCTCCCTCCCCACGTGGCTCTCTCTCACGCCCCTCGCATCCTGCGCCCACGTGGGCTTGACTAAGGCTCTAGAAGATAGTGCGGCGGCGGCGGCGGCGGCTGCGGCGAGAGGTGGTGGGAGGAGGGGGAGGGGCGGTGGGAGTGGGAAGAGTGGAAAGGACGGGCCGTCGGTTGCGGTGGTGGCGATGGTAGAGGCAGTGAATGTGCGCATGACTAAGAATAGTAACAAGCAGATGGCGAATTTGCAGTTGGATGATGGCACGGGGCAGCTGGAAGCAGTGGTATTCCCGGACGTGTTTGCGAGGTATGGGTCGAACCTGAGCAAGGGTGCGACCATGCTGGCGTGGTGTACTGTTGATGTGGAGCTGGACGATTCGCCTGCTGCTGCTGGGAGTGGTGATAGCAGCAGCAGCAAAGAAGAGGGGTCAGCAGATGTGTCTACCGAACAGGAATCATTGTCATCTTCAGCAGCAACAGGAGCAGAATCAGATGCAGAAGCACAGGATGACATCTCCCCTGGTCACACCCTCCCGCTGGCACCCCCCTCCCTCAACCGACTCCAACTAGTGGTGCAAGCAGCAGTGCCCACCAGCACAGCTCAGTTCGTGCGTATAGACGTGACTGAGCAGGAAGCAGGAGATCCCGAGCGCATGCACTCACTCAGGTCCACGATTCAGCGGTTGAGACGCGATGCGGACAACAGGCACGAGGCGAGGGTGCTACAGCAGGATGTGCAAAAGGATGTGGAGCCTCAGGTGCAGCACTGGGTGCGGAAGCAGAGGGCCAGTGCGCCTGGGGCCGTGCCGGTGGTGTTTCGTGTGTGGCCCGACACTGATGCCATGCCTAGGGAGATTGTTGCTAAGAAAGGGTCGACGCCGTATGGGGAGTGGGCGGGTGAAGCGTGGGGGGGGTCTGGCTGGGGTGGTAGGCAAGCGGGGGGAGAGAGCAGCGGTGGTGGTGGGGGTGGCGGCAGGGAGGAGTTGAAGGGGGGGAGAGGGGCAAAGAAGAGGACTCTTCCGCCGCACCTTATAAAAGCAGGGGATTATTTGTTTGTGGAGAATGCGGAGAGAGCAGCAGAGGAGCTTGGGTATGCGGGGTACCGGGCACGGGTGGTGCCGATTTTGTCGCATGAGTGCTGGGAGAAGAGGAGGGAAGAGGGTCTGTATGGGTATTACAATGACGACCGGTTGAATAGTTTCTTGTCCATGTGAGAGGGCGTGTGTGGAAGAGCACCGCACACCCGTGCGAACCTGCACTCGTCATGTTCCTAGTTGGATGTCGAATTGTCCAACAATTTCCCATTCTTCTGTTGATATGGGCTTTCTTGACTGTTTCATTTGTAAACGGTGGTTGCATAAATGGCAGTGTTGCATACCTTACTTTTGCTCAATATTGGTTCAGCCATGTGTAGTATCCCAGTCAAGCAATTGCGTGACACACCCGGACCTTACTCTGTAACGGGTGCTACTCTAGGGGACTTACATTGAGCCTACTATTTAGTGACGGATCCCCGTCACTGGGGTCACGAAATCTAACCCAAACCACGATGTACACCAGAGTACCGTACCGTACGTACCTCGAGGTTCTGGTTTGGGTTTTCCCTTGGGAATCTCCTCCTGGGGCTCTTCATTATTGAATCCTGTAGGCCTCTTGCTTGACAATCTGGATTCCCTGGTTGTCGCGGTATCTGAGGCTCAGGGATTGCTTCGCAGTATCCGCGTGGCGTAGGAATCTGAGAGCGAGGAAGAACAGACGTTTCCAAATCCTGCCTTAGTATTCGTTGTTAAGGACGACCGTTAGCTGCGTATCGGAATTCCTAATCCGCGAAGATGAGGAAGCGCGATTTGGGAATCCTCCTGATTTCGGCGTTCGCGGTTTTCATCTGTCTTCAGGTGCTACTGTCCGTCACCGTCTCGGCCGGAGCGTCATGATTCTGATTGTATTCGTCATTGTCTTGCTCGGAGCGTGACGCTTCAAACACCGTTCCCGGATCCTCTTTGGACCAGTTTTACGAGTAAATTTAATGCCTTTAGATCCAGCGAGATTTCTTCTTTCTGTTATCAATCTCACGTTGCTTCTCCGTTTCTCCTATTGAAACGAGCAACTTCACGTTCAGGGAGGCGTGCACCGCGACGACGACTGCAACCTTTGAGGCGCCTCAAAAGTCGACGACGACTGCAACCAGGAGCTCGAGGCGCGTGTGTCGCCTCTGCGACTACTGCTGGATTCATTATTATTTCCGATGGTTTTTTCGTCTCCGTCCCGCTTATTCAACCAAATCAGCATGAGAGCAACTTCACGTTCAGGGTGGCGTGGTTCCACGTGCACCGCGACGACTACAACCAGGAGCTCGAGTTTCGTGTGTCGCTGTTGCAAGATTTGTCTTTTCTTCTCTATCTCTCCGCCCAAACACTCGTCCGCTTTTCCCTGATTGAGCCGAGCAGCATGAGAGCAACTTCACGTTCAGGGAGGCGTGGTTCCACGTGCATCGCGACGACTACAACCAGGAGCTCGAGGCGCACGTGGTACCGCCGCCCGTGGTGTTCGATCTCAACGGCGACGGTCGCAAAGAGGTCATCCTCGCCACCAGGGACGCGCGCTTGCAGGTACGAAGGGACGCGCGCCTGCAGGTAAGGTAGCGCGCTCCAGGTGGGGTGTTGATTTCTGTGTTTTGGGTTGATTCAAAACATACGTGGTGCCGCCACCCGTGGTGTTCGGTCTCAACGGCGACGGTCGCAAAGAAGTAATTCTTGCTACCAGGGGCGCGCGCTTGCAGGTACGGCATCGATTGGCTGTACGGGCGGATTAAACATACAATCCGCAAATCGTTCTCCTCATTCCCAGTTTCGGCTATCATTGAAGTCAGTGACGATAAATCTGTGGCAAATCTCACGAATCTGTGGTGTCCTTCTGTGTCTCCCCGTGTGTTCCTCCTTCTCCGCACAATTTCTTTATCGATTGAAAGTTAGGATTCTGTGGTGATTAGCTGCGTCTCTCCCTCCCCGTGTGTCCCTCTGTCCGCGCAGGTGATCGAGCCGTTCACGCCGCCGTCAGGCGAGTCGTACCATCCAGTGCGCGTGCTCAAGGAGGTCTCGCTGCAACCCGGTCAGGTGCGCCCCTCCTCGCTCCAGTCCAGTCCGGCCTGGCCTGGCCAGCCCACAGAGCCCTCATCATGCCAATAGAAACCATTCACCTGTATTGCAAACCGTTCTGCTTGTAAATGCTCTGTAAACGGTGTTATACGGACTCTTCAAATTACCACCTTCTCAGGTGGAGTTGAACCCAGCGGGCCACCAGGCAGTGGCGTTCGCTATGGGTACCTGGACCGCCGTCCGCCAAGCCCCCTCTCCCTTGCATTACCAAGCGCCACCACCCCACCGTAGTATCCATCCACACCCCCACC